CCAACCTCCTCAATAAACTCCAACATATCCAGAACTCTGCTGCCCGCCTCCTCACCCACACCCGCTCCCGAGACCACATCACTCCCATCCTCCAGAACCTCCACTGGCTCCCCGAATCCACTTCAAAGTCCTCCTCATTACTTACAAAGCCCTCAACAACCAGGCCCCCCCCTACCTCACAGACCTGCTGCACCACCACACCCCTTCCCGCTGCCTCCGCTCATCAGAAGCCAACCTCCTATCCATCCCCACCCGCACCAATCACCGGACCTGGGGGGACAGAGCCTTCTCCGTCGCTGCCCACTCCCTCTGGAACTCACTCCCACAACCCATCAGAGACTGCACCGACCTCACCACCTTCAAAAAACTCACAAAAACTCACCTCTTCAATCTGGCTTTTCATGTGTGATTGTTTTTGTATTATTTGACTTTAACTTTAACTATATATTTATTTGTTGTTCCTTTCTTCTCTTTTCTTTTTTCTTCACTATTATCTGTAAAGCGTCTTTGAGCACCTGTAAAAGCGCTAACAAATTAAATCTATTATTATTATTATTATTATTATTATTATGTGTGTGCAGTTATATAGATAGTTACGTAAGACTCCAGTAGAAAATGGAAGAAGAGAATGTAAGTGTTATATGTTGCACATATTGAAAAGCTCTCTGAAGCTCATTTGTAATAAAGGATTATGGTCTGTAAAAATAACATTTTAGAACCTGTTAGAAGCGGTTCTGCTAATTTATACTCTTACTATTACGAATACAATATAAAATGACTTTACATATCTATAAAAACTGAATAATATTCTATAATAATACCATGCTTTTATAAGAAGCATTCTGCACTATGAGTACTTTTCAATTTGATAATTGAGTACTTTTAGCTGATAATAGTACTTTAACTTAAGTATCCTTCTCGACTCAGGACTTTTACTTGTAATAGAGTATGTCTAGACTGTGGTAATAGTACGTTTACTTAAGTAAAGGATCTGAGTACTTTTTCCACCACTGGTACCAGTACACTCCTCTATGGGTATGTGTGTTTTGTGTGAAAAATACTTACTTTCAGAGTCATGTCAACATGTTTTTATCAAGTAAAATAAACAAACAAATATAACAAATAACGATAGAGTCCATGCCGAAAGTCGTTTTCTATCACAAGCAAAGAATACAGAACATTATCAAAAGATAACGTCTATAAAAAATGGATCGTCAAATATATATTTTCTTCACCTAACTGTGGGAACAAAGAAGACAGCATGCACTGCAGGAGGTTACATTACACACAAAGCACTACACAAATTATATAAATACACAAGAACAAGGTATATGCGTTGCATGTATAAAATATAAATATTAAGCTTATTTCATATGGTTTATATAAAAAATTACACCATCAAGGGACCATCCGATTTGTTGCATCTAAGCTTTTTCTGCCACGGTGATGAAATTGTTAACACAGGTTTGACATCACAAGTACTTTTACTTCATTACACGGTGGAATGAGATTTCAAAGCTGCTTCCAGCTCAGTTTGTGGGAAGACAGACAAATATTTCATCATTTGGTCTCAACAACATCCAGGCATTAGCCCTGCAGCTTCAATGGTCCAGATCGGTGCTCTCAGTGCTGCCGGCTCGATTGTGGCGCTGGCAGAACTCCCTGATCCGACTGCAAGCCTCCACTATCATCTCCTCCGGCACCGTCACCACAATACGGAAGTAGTTGGGGTACTCAAAGGCCTGGGTGAGGACACAACGCGGTTACTTTCAGGCATGAAAAGGATCACAAACGTGTTTTAATTTTATTCTAAATGCAAGTTTTTTGACATATTGACAGAAAAAGTTGTCTTACTGAAGCAGGCAGACAGAAGACCGACTGCTCGGTCACCAGACGCTCGGTGAAGTCCACATCGTTCTTAAAGTCTGGAAACCGATCCATGTCAATCCCCACCTGGACACACATTATAAGAACCGCAAATTAATATTCAAACCTCAAAATATATGTCGTTAAGTACTATAGAATGATGATTCACGTGCATTTTTTTCTGTTAAACTTTTCTAAAATCCTACTTTTAAATACCTGCATCAAATACATATAAGGTAAAAATTATGTATAAACAACCCTGAAATGACATGCTTAAAATAACTCAATTGAGTAAATGTTCCTACTGACCATGAGGTACATTGCTCCTGAAGGCATGACGGGGATCAGGCCAGGCACGGTGCTCAGCTCATTGAAACAAATCTCAGAGTTGGTCTGAGGGTGAAAAACATTCATATAAGAAAAACATAAAAACATTGAATTGATGTTTAAAGGACAATTTAATCGCGGCAGAACATTTTCTATAAAAATTTTTTTTAAAGTGCTTCTAATTATATGCTGCAGAGTCTGAAAATTGTACTCAAAATGTAAAGTTCATGCAAGTTCATCAAGTATGCATGGCAAGGTGGAGTAGTTGGGCTTTTTACAAATAGCAGTATTCAGGTGAGGGTCAGCTGCCAAACATGTGTGTGCAGGAAATCATACAGTGTTTATATATGTGTATATTACGCACCTTCAGAAAGCTTATGGTTTTGCTGTAGAAGCTTGGAGGTGTGTTGTTGAGGATGCTGTCCAGGGCCCCCTGGATTATACTGCAGGCCCCCAGAATCCGCTGACTGAGTTTCACCAGACCCTGTCGAATCTGCAGAGGAAGCATACTACATGTCAGTCAGGAACATGTGACAGTACACTGGTGGAGTGTTTATACAGTATTCCAAAAGGAGAAACTGTAATGAAAAACTACGTACCTTGGATCCAAATACATCATTCCTGTCATGGATGAGGATCCATCCCATCCTCCAGCCTGGGACCAGCCAGCGCTTAGCCAGACCCCCGCAGGAGAGGATGGGAACGTCACTGCTGAGAGACGCCATGGAAGAACAGCTGCAACCTGGGAAAACCTGTGGACACGAGAATGAGCAAAATAAAATATGTTTAGGTGACAGAATCATCCGCGGCCACGGGTCAGCATCATGCACAGTGATAGTGCATGTGATGGTGATGAAGTTTTCATGCTGCTTTCCAATAATATTCATTTTTTAATGGATGCTCACCGGCACGACCTGGGGTGCAAACCCACAGACTCTGAAGTCAACCGCACTAGCCCTCTGCTACTCAGCAGCCGAGTATGCCTGCCCAGTATGGGAACGAGCTGCCCATGCCAAGAAGCTGGATCCCGCCCTCAATGCTAGCTGCCGCATTATCACAGGCTGCCTGAAATCAACACCTACAGGCCGTCTGTACATCCTGAAAGGGATAGCCCCACCAGAGATACGACGAAATGCAGCAAGCAAGAAAGAGCGCCAACAACAGTCTACTGACCAAAGACATCCTCTCTTTGGCCATGTGCCAGCCAAAAGCCGCCTTAAATCCAGGAAAAGTTTCCTGAAGAGCGTCCCACCCCTCGGAACACCGAGCACAGGCAGTGAAAGAGTCACTCGGTGGGAAGAAAGACTTGACAACCTCCCATCAGCAACAACAATGGAGCTAAAGGCGAGCGAGGCACTGCCCCCTGGAGCAGACACCAACTACGCAGTGTGGAAATGCCTAAACAGAATAAGATCTGGTGTTGGACGTGCAAAAGCCACTCTCGCCAAATGGGGATACCTAAATGACGGGGACGTTGTGTGTGACTGCGGCATTGAACCACAAACCATGCAACACCTCCTGATATGCCCCCTGCTGGAGCAACCCTGCACAACATCGGACTTGGCAGAGTTTAATGAGAAGGGACAGCAATGTGTTCAGCTGTGGCTGAACCACATCTAACCAAGCCCTTTAACTGACTGCCTTGTGGACACGATAAGAAGAAGAATGGATGCTGTCATTTTGACATGTAGATTTAATTATGGCGTGCAAGGCATTCAAGTCATTAAATAAAATAAATGAAATACAATTATATATTTTTGTTAAAGGAATTTTTCAAATCTTTCTAGTTTTTCATGTTCAAAAGGTTTATTGTGTTCCTTGTAAAGAAAACACGTTGTTCTTGCATTTGTTCAAAATGTGTATGAATGTAACAGTACATTCACAATGTATATTTATGTATAGATGTCGCAATTGTCCAAAGCTTTGGCAATACTGTAAGTCATTATGGTCATGCTAATAAAGCTATTTAAATTGAATTAAAATAAAAACAAGCTGTTAACAGGATATCTTCAAGTGGATATGGCTAATATGTTAGCGTGCTTATTTACCGCTTAGAGAATGTAAAACCACTGTCTTTGTGACAGATGAGGGAGAAACCAACAACAGAAGAAGAGGAAAGGAGGGGGGGGATGAAGTAGCCGCAGACAGAAAGCTGGTTCTCATTAAAATGTGCTGGATCTGAGATGCTGAGCGGGGAGCTGCCCCGCGTCCTATTGGTCAGACGGCTGGGAATGACTTAACAGAAATGTACATCTGAAATGTGCCTGCTGAGCACGGCCAACTTAAAGCACTTTTTGGGCTCCGTCTCTCTGAACTGGATAAACTCGCGCCCCCGCTCCCTGCCTCTGGTATAAAGTATTACTTAAGTATGTGTAGGATAACATAACACTTCAGTGCAGAAGATGTTCAGGGGGATTCACTTGCAGTCCAAATACATTGGCACTGGCTGACACGATTGAAAGAGTGAAACATTTAAGTTAAAAACATTAATCAAAGTCAACTTTATTATTAATATCTCTGTGTCTGTGGTACAAACAGGGAGGCCCAAGTGCTGTTTCCCACAGTCCCAAACATTCAAATATATAACAAATATATACATATACCGTATGTATAAATGCACACTATAAAATTATAAAAAAGGCACAACAGTAAATATAAAAAAATAGCAGTCTGGTAGATTAAACGGTGAATATATGAGAATTAATGAATATATAACAACAGTACAAATATATGCAAGTAGTGCAATAGGTGTCCATGGCAGCTAGCAAAATAAAAAGTACTAGATACTAGAGCGAATGTGAGAAAATGTATTCTTGTGAAAAACATAAGTCACTGCTGAGGGTCTTTTGGAGGAGGGGGACAGGCAGTGTCAGACCGCCCGGCCCCCTCCCCTCCTAACATCCAGGTTTTAAAGTGAAGGCCTCCCCACCACACCCCCAGTTCAGCCCCCCACATGCCACACGCCCCATTCCTCCACCATTCCTGTTGCGCCAAAACACAATATCTGCATTAACTGCAAACACATGCAGCCAGAAAAGTGCCGAGTCATTCTGATCGGCTTGCTTTTTCTCAATGTGACATGGTCAGATGGGGGGGGGACCCAACAACCCCGACTTGAAACGCTTCCACTTGCAAGAGTAAATGCAGGCTTTCAGCATCCATTTCTCTGTGTGCAACACCTAACCTCTAAGTTTTTTTCTCCATTAGCCTCACCTTGTTGATGAAACAGACCAAATCTATGTTTGTCCATTTTAATGTGGAGCTCCTTATTATCAACAATCTGTTAACAAGCCTATTCACTCACACAGAGCTGCTCTTAAATGGAAGAATTAACAAATAACTAACAAACTTTTGTTTTTCATTTTTCTCAACCAATCAACAATCCAACAGCTTGATTTTAATCTGGGGACATGTGTGATAAAATCACTTGGTAAACTTTAGCTTTAAAATTCGGAAGTAAATGAGTTCAAATGAGTGGAACAGGACTAAATCCAGATGTTAGAGCCTAACATCAGAGGTAACAGAGAAGTAAACGTGATTTTTAAGCCTGGCTGAGAAACACGTATTAGGTTGAAAATTCACTTTTTGGAAAATGTCAGAGGCCACAAACTATGCAGACTACAGTTCTGCAGGTGCTTTCAGAAATTCAGTGATTCACAGCTACATCTGCATTTTCTTTTCATAATAATAGTTTGCAGGAAGGTTACTACTAATGAGATTTGGCTGTGTAGACAAAAGCATCATGAAATGTGTGCATGTGGTGATCACTGAACAACTGATGATGGAATCAACATGCTGAGGAGATCCATGTGTGGACCCAACATTTATCTACACGTGTGCAGTCATATGGGTTACATAATAATCCCAAATAGATGAAGCATATGTTAGGATACAAATATTAAACTATACGATTCAAGAATCAATTAAAATAGACATTGTAGAATTTTTAGGTTCCAATGAACATTCAGCATTACGTTAGCAACAATGTTCTGATTTTATGTGAGTGCATTACAATGACTGAGCACTATCAAAGCAGAGGTGGCTAGTAGAAACTGTAGCAGCGTGTGTGTGTGTGTGTGTGTGTGTGTGTGTGTGTGTGTGTGTGTGTGAAAATGAGAGTGTGTGTGTGTGTGTGTGTGTGTGTGTGTGTGTGTGTGTGTGTGTGTGTGTGTGTGTGTGTGTGTGTGTGCGTGTGTGTGCGTGTGTGTGCGTGTGTGTGCGTGTGTGTGTGTGTTGGGTGGATCTGGTTAGGCCCATCAGTGCAGTTTATAGTATTAAACCATTCGGTTTTTTTTACATCTTCTGTCATATTCAAAAATAGCCTACAGCAAGTCCAACTTAAATGTTTCTTAGCATGACAAGAATAGACATGGCAGAAGGGTA